AATCCTTCTGCAAGCTCCTTGGGTCAACCCTGACCTTAGCATGCTCTTCCCTCGACCAGCTTCTTCCCAGACGACGGCAGCAACTGGAGCGTGATGCCCCGCCCCGGGACTCACGCTTCGCCAGCCAGCAGCCGTCGGTAGAGTCGCAAACATGGTCACATCCGATGGCTCATCGAGAGGGCGCGGCCTCGCTCTGAGTCGCTGGAAGAGCCCTCTGACCTCCGGACCCGAGAGAAATCAGTGTAGGTCTCTGTATGCCTGCGTGTTGCGGCGAGTATCCTGACAGCAAACGCGTGGTCAAGCCCGTGACGCAGGGGTGCAGAAACAAAAACATTTACCTTGTACAGTGTGCGGTGTAGGCAGTCGGGGTGATCATGGGTGATCTCATCTGTCACCTGCTGCACGAGAACCTGCCAGGCATCACACCCCTCCACTTCGTCTGGTTTCGATACTTTTTTCCCGTTCACCCAGACCCTTTGTCCGCACCCACCTTTCACTTACCCAGCGGATATGAATCATCGCTGGACTTGGTCCATTCACCCAGGCCATTTGTCCGCACCCACCTTCCACTCACCCAGCGGAAATAAATTATCGCTGGACTCGGTTATCACAAAGTCTCCGAAGTACATCCAGCACACGGATGTGGTGTCCAGCCACTGCAGTGACCATATCCTGGCCGCCATTACCTCGAAAGCGAGACACAACAGAGCAGCGAAAACATCACCTGCACACCATCACCGAACGAGCACTGACATCATACCGGATCTGGCCGCGCCCGACTGGGGCGCCGTCCTGAAGCCTTGTTCACCAGATAAACAGCGGGATGCTTACCTGACTTCACACCCGACCACTCTGCCAGTGTCGGACGCTTAAAGCGCTCATGGCAACACGTTGCGCTCTTCGTCACATCGGCGCGCTGTACAGGCAGCTGGATCATAGGCAGCCAGTCAATGCGGCCGCAGCGAGAACATCTGACGACGCGTTGAGACGGAGAGGTCCGGAGATGAGCGAGAATATCAGGCGATGCGTCAAGACGAAAAGGTCAGGAGACGAGCGAGAACATCTGACGGTGCGCTAAGACGAAGGGGTCGGGAGACGAGCTTCTTGCTGTCCGCGGTATCGTCAGTGGCAGGAGACCATGGCACACGCAGCTTCCTGATGGCCTCGTATTGACCAACGAATTCTTCGCCGACATCGGAAGGAAGACCTCCGTCCCGGTACTGGCAGCGACTCCGGTCATACACAAGACTCTTATGTCGCACGAGTACGCGCGGGGGTCCCTTGCCTACAGCCTGTCACCGAACATGATCTTGAATGAACTATGGCATCCATGAACGCCAGCGGCGCCCGTAGCGACGGCTGCATGATGCTGCATATTATCAGTGTCTGCCTACAAATGCTTTTGCAAGCGTCGCCGTGCAGAATCAGCAGTAATGCTGCCTCTGCGTACTTAAACGCAAGTGGAAGATATCACTAGTGGGGATGAATTTAAGAGCTGGCCACGTGGGAAACTTCAAACCGATCTATTGCATTCCCGCACCGCCTATGTGAGAGGAAAATGTGGCATGCAAGCAGGTTACAAGGCATGCTACATAGCATGCCGCGATGTCTCGAGATAGCACGGGTTTCGTTGAAGTTTTCTGAGACGGCAATCCCAGCAGTTCAGAAAGCGTATTTGAGGCTTGGATGTCAGCCAGGTGGCGTGATGCGATTAGTTATCTATAAAAGATATGTAATCGTGTTCGTCATCAATTGCCGCTAAAAGCACTGATGTTCGACAACGCGTTACGCCTAGGCAACGACTGCCTCCAGCTGGATTGACAGCATGTCCAAGCTCGAAACTCGAGCAACGGTGCTTCCCGGGGCGGCTCGTGGATTTCCCTTGGTTTAATGCATAAAAACAAACGCAATGGTCGCCCTGGTGCTGCACGGTTCATGCTGTGTGCGGGTGACTGTCGGTACTTGTAACAGGTGACTGACGGAATCTGGACGAACAAAACTCATAGATCTTTGGGGCATGCTAGCATATCAGAAGCCCTTCTCTCGGGCAGATTCACTTTCATGATCGACTTACCACCGCAGTGAAAGGTGCAAAGTCATGAAAAACATGTTATTACAATATAAATAAACAATAACATGAGTGTTATTTTTTACGGGACTCATTTGTCATTGCCACTTTTTTGTCCACACTGTCATGTCACATTGTCACACCACATTGTCATGTCACAGTATCACACCACATTGTCATGTCATTGCCACCATGACGTAGTTGGGCTGGCTGAGCGTGGGACGAGCCCGACGAGCACCGTGTATGCGTACAAAGCAGAACCGCGTGGCTAGCCGCAACCAATCTGGATGAAACGGAGTTTATTACGCTATTGCAGTGCTCTGAAATTGAAACTGCTGCTCAAGCGACTGGGTCCCTTGGCACGCGTCCCTTGAAGAAAAGCTCAAAGCTTTGAATGGTATTAGCCCTTGGCGCTTCATATTCATTTTGCACTTAATAAAGGCAAGACAAGTCTTCAGTACTTGTTTTTGGCAGTTTAAGTGCAAGTTCTCATGCTGCGTTATTGCCCTCGAACATATCACTATGTATGCACTGGTTAAACGCCATTAATGAACAAACATCGGCAATATTATCATTGCCCGACGCTTCCATCCGCACTGATGATCACAAGTTAGGCAAGTCAGCTCATTCAGGATCATATGCACAGCTTAAGCCTTCCATTGCTGACAATGCAACCAACCTTTGCTCTATAACGTACAGGGACGTAATTTACTTTTCAGTTGAGGGAGGGCGGGGGGGGGGGGGAACTTCAGCCTTCCCTCTCCCTCACCCAGTTCTGCTCCCCCCCCCGCTGTACGAGAAAATTGGGTCAAATCAGGAGAGAAACCCGTCTGTGAATTTTAGGCCAGATTTGATAATTTTTCATGATCCAGTCCTTCCCGAACTCACTTTCTGAGACTACGCCCCTGATGACAGCTTTTAACAAGCACCTCATTATAAATAATAATAATAAAATAAATAAATATATATATATATATATATATATATATATATATATATATATATATATATATATATATATATATAATATGCGGGCCAGCCCAAAACTTGCCCAAGGCGTGGGGGGGGGGGATGACATGATGACATGGAGCTGAAGCGTAACAGGGAAGGGGAGTTTGGACAGACAGCGTTACGTTACGCTCAGCTGTGGTTGCCCATTACACTGAAATGTCAAAAAGGATGTTTCAACAGCGTAACCAGATGGACGGACCACCACCTAGCATAACCCGTTCACAGCTCCAAGATGGGGTTTAAAAGTGGGCAAAATCCGTACCGCAATGAATGGGTGACCCCACCAACAGCCACACCACGCGCGGCAATCCGCCACACATCACAGATTTTGTCCCAGATAACCGAACTTGCCGTTCTGTGCCTCTGACATCGTGTTATCGGACACCCTCTGAGACGGTCTTCCGCACCACAGTTTAGACCTTCGCCGCACGGCGGCAGCACCGTCTGCACAAAGCCATGGCAGCAGCCGAGTTCGGGGCTGGCAGTTGGTCTGCTCCAATCCATATACGTTTTTAGATCGATGAAGTGTGATGGTAGTTTGTCATTTCCTTTGCGGACAGTGCAGCCAGCACACATACTCGGGCGCAGCTATAGTGTGGAGACGTGGGCGTTCACCTTGCGCGGTCATGCCCGCCGAGTGCTGCCAGCGGGTCTGGAGGTTCAAGGGATGCCTTTGGAAAGTCCTCCGGGACCATCCAGAGGCGAAACTCGGCCACATGGGGCATTTATGGGCCTTGAAGGTCTCATGGGCCAGGGGGTACTCAGCCAAAGACGAAACTCGGCCAAATTGGGCATTTCGAGGCCATTGGAGGTCTCCGGAGAGCACTGTCCGGGGACTTTAGGACCTTAATGGGGATTGGGTAGGGACGGGTTGAGAATGGGGTGAGGTTGGTGGGAAGTTGTCCCTAATGTCTCCTCTGGCTACACCATCTCGTCTAAGATTTGTGCGTCCCACACACCATTCTTCAATTTTGATACGACAGCGCCAAGAAGCACGAAGTTTCTCAGCACGTATAATGCATGCTAAGCGCTCAGTGACACTGCAATGTTTCACAAACGGCAGACGTGTTTGCATTTTGATGTATTCATAACTTGTATACCGCTCGAGGAAAAAGACTGGCCTTTTGGCGAAGTCACGCTAATGGCCCTCGTGATGCGAGCGTAACGCCATCTAGGGAGTAACATCTACAACAAACACCCGTGATGAACGGAAGTGAGCTAAGGACAATGGACAATAACAGCAGCATCCCGCATGTCAAAAAGACGGAAGGTCGGGAAAGGAAGGTAATATCAGCCAAGTTTCTGCCATTTGTTACGGCAGAAGCCTACTTACATGGCAGTATAAGACCATGCCGCATCGCAGTGCCACGTTGACTAGACATACTGGCAACAAGGTGCACAAACATGAAAACAGCCACTAGAGACAACACATTTCGTGCTACCTTCCCCACGACCTCGAAAGCAGGCTAGTCCTGAGGAATCATCCGACAAGTGCTCAACACAACCCACGTGCCCCCGCGTCTGGAGCGCAACATCCAGAGATCCACCTCCACGCGCGGCGTCTGGAGCGGAGCTGGTCTCAGCGAGTGAAGGAGTAACTGTGCTAAATGCGGTGTGCACTCGTCCCCACGCCAGGTGCAGACGTTCCCTGAGAGCTGGCGTCGAGACTAGTTGGCACTTGAGTCCCAGCAAAATTGAGTACAATAGCTCGGGTTCTGATACATCCAATGCGAGTCAACAGCTCAGAACACTGGCAGGAATGCCCCACGAGACCCTACAGGCAAGAACGTTCCACAACATGGCGGCCAACAGCAAGATGACGTCAGCAGGTGCCGCTCCGTCAGTGCTGGCAGGAGGCGGAGCTGACGTCACGCCCAACCGCCTGACAGCGCCCCCAGCTGGTCTGGCCGGCCGGCGTCGCTCATGTGACCCAGATCATCACCAGGTTGACGAGGCTCCAGAGAAGGCCGCCGCAGGGCCGCCGGCGCTCGCGGTACAGCCGCTCTATGACGGCCGGCGCCAGGCCGTGCACGGTCAGGTGGTGGCGACACGTGCACGGGTGCTGCCACAGCGGCCGAGTCTTCTCGAAGCCCGGCGCGCGCTGCAGGCGCACGCCGGCGCGCGGCGCCACCAGCCCGCTCAGGAACACGTCCTCCAGGTTGATGAACGGCGTTTCGAGAGCCCGCCACCAGAGCGGCGCCACCGCCGAGCCGGTCAGCAGGTACGCCGTGCCGGAGATGTAGTCGGGGAGCGGCTCCTCTGCACGCAGCGCCGGCGGCAGGTACCACTTGGAGCCGGGCGTACGGTCGGTCGGCGCTTGGTGATACAACAGGCCAGCCATAAGGGCGGCGTCATCGGCGCAGGCGCCGCCCGGCAGCCGGCAGTCACGCAAGTTACTGCAGCAGCGCCGGCATGTCCACCCCACATGTCGTCGTCGGCTTTAAGGACGAACGGCACCGACGGACAGCGGTGCGTCAGCCACTTGAGCATGAAGACCGTCTTGATGGTGAGGTTGTTGTAGTGGTCGGGGAAGTCCTCCTGGAGGACGTCGCCGTGGGCGGCAGCCTCGGCCGACAGCTGAGCCTGCCGTGGAGAGGACGGCGCCGTCAGGGGACGCGGCAGCGTCAGGAGACGCGGCAACGTCAGGAGACGTGGCAACGTCAGGAGACGTGGCAACGTCAGGAGACGTGGCAACGTCAGGAGACGTGGCAGCGTCAGGAGACGCGGCAGCGTCAGGAGACGCGGCAACGTCAGGAGACGTGGCAACGTCAGGAGACGTGGCAACGTCAGGAGACGCGGCAACGTCAGGAGACGCGGCAGCGTCAGGAGACGTGGCAACGTCAGGAGACGTGGCAACGTCAGGAGACGTGGCAACGTCACGGGACGGGGCTCTGTCAGGGGACGGGCTGCCGTCAGGAGGACGTAAAAGGGACGGGGCTCTTCCAGAGCGGCGGAGCCGGCCGGCCGGACCTCGCCTCGTCTATCCGCCAGCCGACCACTGTCACAACACTCTGTTCAGAAAGGTTTGGCATTAACGTCATAAGTGATGGATGGAAAGAGCTTTAGAGAAGCTTTAAAGAGAGTGCCCTATATTGAAGGGCTGCCAGAGAGTCAGACAAAATATGATCAGACAGCGTACGCTGGACGTGGTCATGCCATTTTTCCTTCGAGAAGGACCGGAATAGCACGCCTTGCTGGGGAAAATTCGGGACCGTTGCATCACAATGTGCGTGGCGCTGCACCCAACCAATCACCGACCGGGCAGCGGCGCCTGAAGGCCAGGCAGCTGACAGCTGGTGTCATTCCCCGTCACGTGACAAAGGCCCCGACATTGTCTACGTAGTTGGGTATGGAAAGGTCCGGAGGGCAGCTTTCAACCGCACCCTGCAGCTTGAACGAACGCGTCTTCGGCTATGACGTGGGCTGTTGATACTCCGGTGTGCATTTCGACCTGGCCATTTCGATTACAAAATTCACACAACCGTGAAACGCTTTACTCAAATGGGGGGCTTAACCCGGCTCCATAATGAGACGCTCCTAAGCTCAGCAACATAACGGGTGAACACTAATAGGTCACAAATTCGAAAGCAATAAGGCGGAAAGCACATATGAGTGCCATGCTACGCTACATTAAAATGAACCTAATTGTAAGTGTTTATAGAAGGTGACAAGAAATACAAACATATACTAGGCTGCTAGCATAACCAGATAAAAAATTACCGTCAAGTATGCCATGGCCATCACCGGGGAAATCAGAAATCCCGCACTCTGGCCGTGTGCAAAAGTCGCTGTTTCCACCCGAAACAGGGTGAGCAAATCACACAAACCCCCATTACACCAAAGCCCTTGCCCACCTTTCTGCCGGGAATATTTGGTCTCGCTGGTGCTGGATTGGGACACGGGGAGCTGTATACTGACCAGCGAGGCACTGTTCGGAGCAGGGGGGTGGGGAAGGCATTCCAGGCAATCGGCGTGTGTGTGATCTATGTCATCTTACTTCAGGAGACACGAGAGAGCTTGGACACGGGAAGAGTGGGCCATTGACAATTTATTCGGCGATGACCATTGCGTACCCTCCAAATCTCCAAAAGGCAGCTTTAGTGTGTGGCAAAGAAACTTATCCCCGCCGTAGCCTACAAGCCCAAAGGCGGGACTTGCCCTTCTGGTCAGGTCTGGCTAGCTATCACCACGCCCGAAAGACGTCAGACCTGCTGGCAGAGGAGGGAGGAGGGAGGAGGGGGGAGGGGGGCAGGCGGTACAGAGGACGGACAGGCGGTACAGAGGAGAGGGCAGGCGGCACAGAGGAGAGGGCAGGCGGTACAGAGGACGGACAGGCGGCACAGAGGAGAGGGCAGGCGGTACAGAGGACGGACAGGCGGTACAGAGGAGGGGGCAGGCGGCACAGAGGAGAGGGCAGGCGGTACGGAAGACGGGACAGGCGGTACAGAGGAGGGGCGGCCGGCACAGAGTAGAGGACATTTGTTTCCCGGGAGGGATACTCCCCCCATGTGCTGTCCCCAGCTGCACCCAAGGTCATTTCGGCAACGATAAAGTCCAAGGCGTTCACGGGAGACTGGGAGGCACTGTCAGACGAATAACTGAAGAGGATTCGGAAGAACATAAATCTTTTGACAGAATATGCTGAAAAAACATTATATGGGTGGGGGGGGGGGGGGGGGTAACGTGTGCAACGTGCTGCACGCGCGAAGCCGGGAGGTGCGTGCACCAAATGAGCGGAGATGCTCAGTGCACGTGCTCATCCACACAGCCAGAATTTCCATGATATGGGGTGGTAGTACAGGACTGTCCGCGCGTTCCCCAACTTTGCCCCAAATGACAGTGCTCACTCGTTCATCTATCGCATCTCTCACATAGTATTGCATTGTGCCGTAACGTACCGGAACAAATGCATCACGTCATAGCAAACATACTCAAAAAATTTAGAGAGGTGTGATTGGGAAGGTTGCATTGAGTACATTAGGTTATGATGGTGATTTGGACTGACAGGGCTTCTGCTGGTGGAGCCATTTCGTACTGTTCTGATGCATGAACAGTTCAATGTCCTCCTTGTCAACCGTGAGCCGGAGAGAGCCAGAGCCAGAGCCAGAGCCAGAGCCAGAGCCAGAGCCAGAGCCAGAGCCAGAGCCAGAGCAGAGCCAGAGCCAGAGCCAGAGCCAGAGCCAGAGCCAGAGCAGAGCCAGAGCCAGAGCCAGAGCCAGAGCCAGAGCCAGAGCCAGAGCCAGAGCCAGAGCCAGAGCCAGAGCCAGAGCCAGAGCCAGAGCCAGAGCCAGAGCCAGAGCAAGAGCCAGAGCCAGAGCCAGAGCCAGAGCCAGAGCCAGAGCCAGAGCCAGAGCCGAAGCCAGAGCCAGAGCCAGAGCCAGAGCCAGAGCCAGAGCCAGAGCAGAGCCAGAGCCAGAGCCAGAGAGAGAGAGAGAGAGAGAGAGAGAGAGAGAGAGAGAGAGAGAGAGAGAGAGAGAGAGAGAGAGAGAGAGAGAGAGAGAGAGAGAGAGAGAGAGAGAGAGAGAGAGAGAGAGAGAGAGAGAGAGAGAGAGAGAGAGAGAGTCACGGTAGACTTTCCGATGTATTCTGAGCCAAACTTCGCCGCACCGGTCGCCACTACAGACACGCCACATAGGTCGTGTCCGACAAGAGGACTCTTGGACACGCCAAGCTCTAGATCCGAAACCTTACAGTCAAGAACCTTAGTATTCAGTCAGTATCAACAGTGAAAACAAAACAACACGAGCACAACACAACACAGGCTAAAATCGCACACATATCCGGGTAGCTCGGGCACAACACAGCCAACAATGTACACAGCAAGCTGTTTCAAAAATTTTTTCTGGAGCGCTTCCCAAACTGCTAATAAATGTTCGGGTTGCAGTACAGCATATGCTGCAGAAGCCAGCAAGCACAACACACATTAATTCAATTGGCACGCAATTAGCAGCTGACACTACAGGCTCCCATCCGTCCACTTTGCCATGCCCATTTGTAATGTCTCTCCGGGGGGCCTCTCTTAGCCACAGCAGCGCACCCGATCCCGGCCCGGCACCCTACCTGTCAACAGCGCACCCAGTCGCGGCACCCCACCTGTCAACAGCGCACCCGGTCCCGACACCCGACCTGTCAACAGCACGCGCGGTCCCGGCACCCCACCTGTGAGCAGCGCACCCGGTTCCGACACCCCACCTGTCAACAGCACACCCGGTCCCGGCACCATACCTGTCAACAGCACGCGCGGTCCCGGCACCCCACCTGTGAGCAGCGTATCCGGTCCCAGCACCCCACCTGTCAACTGCGTACCTGGTCCCGGCACCCCACCTGTCAGCAACGCACCCGGTCCCGGCACCCCATCTAACCGCGCACCCGGCCCCGGCCCGACACCCCACCTGCCAGCAACGCACCCGGTCCCGGCACCCCACCTGCAGCGTGTCAGAGTCGGCGCGGCCGACCAGGAACATGGTGCTGGTGCTGCCATCTGTCGCCGGCCGGCCCCAGGTGCGGCGGATGGCGCGGCGCGCCGCGGCGTTCCCCGGCGCCGACGGCACCACCACGGCCAGCAGGAGGCCGGGCTCGGCGCAGGCGGCGGCCGGCTCGATCAGACTGCTGTTGCGCTCGGGGAAGACGTAGCGGCGCAGCGAGAGGCTGTGCAACCAAGGGTACAGCTGGCCGAACGCGATGGCATGCAGCTGCGCCATCTCCGCCTGGCGAGGCGGCGGAGGCGGCCGTTAGGCGGCGACAGGGCCCACTGGCCCCACCGCGCACGTGTGAATGGCAGGCGGCACGTGACAAGCGTCATGTTCTGTTGGTGCAGACTGGTGGGATTACACACAAGCATGTGCAACCAAGAGAGTTAGTTCTGTTGGCATAGCTGTGGATGGAGGACATGGCGTGGTAGGTGTGGCAGTGGTCAAACACACTGCTGTTCGATGCTTTTAATAATGCTGCAGTGAAATATTTGTTTTGATATAACCATCCCGCCACACCGACTTCAACCAATATTCTCCATCTGTGAGCACACGTAGCTTGCCAGATGGTGTTGCAGAGGAACATTGTATTGTGTTGCAAGAAATCAAGAGGCACTTCTTACCTTACAGTCATCAGGATTTGCAGATTTTTGGTTCCACTCTCAAACTGTCAGTCATTCGCCAAGCTCTAATTCACAGATAACTCGGAATCATTCTGAGATCCCTCGCCTTAGTTGGGTGCAGTGGATATACAGTCCGGGCTTTAACTGTGCGACGGGGGATGCAGAGACTACCTCGAATGGCATCACATTCCAGTCATTTACTGCCCAGTAGCTGGATGAGTGTAATTGTGCGATGGTCTGACTCCGTCTTTACGGAGCTCCAACGATGGCCTCAGTGTGCGCGGCAGCTCGGACAACAATCTATGCATGCACACACATACCACCATGTAGCATTTGGAGCACAGTGGCCACATCACCCCGTCAGCATCTATGGTACAGCGAAAGCAGCCTCAAAAGCTGAAGTCTCCCTCAGCATGTCATGTTCCTCACATCCTTACCCAGCTGGGCCATCCTGTGCTGCACTCTTTCCACTTACTTCTGGCCCTCTTTTCTCAAGGGACCCCATATGATGTTACCATGCTCAGCCTAACTGACATTCTCAAGAGGAGTGGAAGAGACCTCAGAGCCATTTATCCAAGATAATGCCAAGGTTCTCCTCCCGGGCCACCTCTTCAACTCTAGTCCCATTCAGAAGACATGACTGGTGGTGGTCAACATCTGCCGCACATGACCTTTCACTTGGAAGTGTTGAACAGCAGCAGCCACTTCCTTGACCACTTCCACAGAACAACCATGTCTGCCTCATCTGCAGTGACCTAGACAGGACACCATGAAATTTTGTGTCATCTACAAATGACTTCACAGCCCTATGAGCATGCTCAGAAGGAAGATCATTCACAAAGGTCATATATAGAGCAGGTCCAGCAACAGATCCCTGCAGGATTCCCCTTGGCACAGGTGCCTGGTCTGACCTGAAATCCATACAGTACTACCCTCCCAGGGGCTTTGGCCTGCAAAAAAGCTCTGACCTATTGCAGGAGCTTACCCTTGATCCCATATACACAGAGTTGGTGGAGGAGCCACCAGCACAGCAGCAAAGAACATACTGAAGTCTAGGTAAATGTTAACCAGTTCCCCACCCTCCACTGATGCACTCCATGCCTTGTGACTTTCAGGAGCTTAGGCACAAGGAATCTCCATGGAAGGAATTTGTGCCAAGCAGTATCAAGAAACTTCAACTCAACCATGTGCTGGAGTGATTTGTCCCTGTTGAGACTCCATAACTTTGGAGAATACAGCTGACCGACTCAATGGCAAATAACTTGTTGGGCCTTAACCTTTCTGCTCTCACAAATCAGGCTTACTCCTCCTGGCTTCCATTCTGAAAATCCTTCTAGCACGCATGGACATAGCCAGCTGCAAGATCAGAGATACAGAAAAGGCAGTGGTAGCATCATCAATAAGCTATAGGATGGATAGTGGCTAGACCAGGTAAGTTGGCAAGCTTCAGCAGCTACAGTTTGTGCACCAGGATCTGGGATAAGATCTTGATATCCTGCAAAGCTTGGCCGGCGTGGCAGGACACCCAAGACGATATATAAATGTTTCCATCATGACCTTGCATGAAAAGATTTTGTGCAGCACTCTGACACCTCTAGATTCTGTTTGAGAGCAACCAACCTTTGGTAAGAAGTTTCTCCACTAAGCATGTGGTGAGAAGGCCAAAATTAGCATGCTTTTTCCAGTTAACTTGAAATGTCTCTAAAAAATCTCTCACCCACAAAGCTAGCTTCCCCTCATGTTATTTCAAGACAATTTGCCAGCTTCCTGAAATCATTCCTAGAATAAGCTCACCTTGCATGGCATCACACATTATAAGCCTGAATGTATACATGCCTCACAAATATTTATCATATTTATGAGTTTTAATCCCCTGATTTTTGTACCAGCTCTTTTCTCCTACAATTTCTCCACTTTCAATCCTACAGACCTATCTTTCCTTGCATGCATAAGACATTAGGTGGCCTCATCAGGCACTAAAGGCAGCGGATAAAAGGATTCCAATGGTGCTCTGCTCTAGGCAGAACACATGCAGCAGTTGTTCTATCCTGTAAACACAGGTATAATTTCTTATCTAGACATATATGTGGCATATACCAGGCCCCCAAGCTTTGAGAAGAACATGGACAAAATTGGGGAAAACACATATCTTGGCATACTTTAAGGGTTAGGTTTGGTCATCTTTCCCTGTTCAGCCCATCCTTAGCTCATTTTGTGAGACTATGCACCTAAGCACACACACAAACACACACACACACACACACACACACACATAGAGGAACTTACTGGAGATTTGTAAATGAACCACCAATAAATTAATAGCAGTCCACACAGCATAGCACAAATTCTTCTGGTGATTCGATGGCTTGGCCTCACCCAAATAGCTTGGAGTGTTGCTTGGGCAAAATATTTCATTCTGATTTATTTTCACAGATGCTTGTGAACTGTCTTCATGCTGTTCATTAAGCATTCACTTCTTCATTTCCAACTGCATGGTATGATTTAATTTTTCCATAACGCTCACTCAGAATCAAGTCTGAACGGGATGCACCCCGATAACTCATTGACGCCCAGGCAGGTTTATTCGATCGACCAATGACGAACTAGGAGACCACATTTTACACCGATACACGTACGTGAATCACCGCAAACCCCGCACCCGCCGCGTCCACCGCAAACACAAGCGGCGTGGTTCTAGGGACAAGCCACATGGCGCTACCGCACCACACACGATTTCGCCGTCCCACAGCTCACGCCCATCGCGTATCGAGGCCGAGTCCCTGTCACCCGGCCGCGTGAAATCCTCACCCGGCCGGAGGTCACGTGAACCCGCCGCTATCGCAAAAACGATTTTCGCTGTGAGCGCCACGTAAGTATATGCTGCGCTGTCAGTGCCATCATCAGGAAGTAGCACTCATATGGCACCTCATGATCTTTGCCATCAGTCGAGTTTACATTCACCCTGAAAGGAGTGGTGACGTCCTTGGTGCCGGTATTTCAACGCGGCGCAGCTGCAGCCGTGAGGCCTAACTGCTCAGGGCTGCGGGAACATTGGAAATCCCTACGCAGCTAATTGTCCCGCGAAATATTTTCTTTTGCTAGTTAGTATTCTTCATTTTTCTTGCGTAGCTCTCAGACGGCATTGCTCCTGTTGGTTGTCCGTGAAACGATGAGTACTGCCCGTTATTTCTCAGCAACATCATTATGATCATTCGGCAGATTCCTCACCGACACAGAACGGCAATCGCATTGTTTCCCAACCCCAGCTTGCATAAAATCAACAAGCACCGTGACTTATGTTTGAGTACATTTATAAATACCAGCCAACGAAGTAATAGAGTCATTTCGTTGGAATGACCACGTTTATGAAATTTATCAGTTAGGTTATTGAGGCTATATATGAGTGGTTATGATTGGCAACACTCGATCCTTTTCCTGCCTCTCGTATTGATCTGCCTCGGGGCTTTGCGGTGTCATGTGGCATCGCCTGTCTACCACCGAAGTACGAATGGCGGCCACTGCGGGCCAACGACAGTCTGCAGATAGTGAATGTACTCACGAATAATGAACCGCACAAAAGAAAAACCCCTTGCGAGTAATACGTTTGCCGGCGATAATCGACTTTGCCTGGATTAATCATCTATGTCATTGTTAGTGACGCCGTTGGCTCTTTGGCCGTCCGTATTGATTCGCAGACGAGTATCATCCAGACAATCGCAGCAAAACCCTGTCAACCGACTTACTAGGAGCGGCTGCAAATTGTGTCGAAAATATTAGCTCACAGACTAGACATGGGCTTTTACGAAACAGGTGCCTTCGTCCTGACACGAGCAGCAAACGTCAATTTACCGGATCACCGCAACTAGCATTGACATATTTGTACCGCCTCATGTATGCTTGTTCACCGACTATATTAAAGGGACGCCTATAGTGTGGTCGCTACACACAGTCTACGGGTTATGTGCAGCGGTCATACGCGTAACCGTGCCCTTGAATCATGAGTGAAACCGTTCATCCATATGCCTATGCATAACCGAGGAATTTCTCCCCAGTTAATAGCAGCCATCTGGGTAAGCCTCAACCGCGGCATCAACCCGTAGCCCCCACTCTTTATCACCACTGAACTGCGCCGACCTCGCCCGTGGGCCCGCCGGAATCTCCCACCGGCTCACACCACTCCATCGCTGCCCGCGAGAAGTCCCCGAGTCAAACATCTGTGACGCATTTAATCAATCGAGCCAAAAAGCATTCGATTGAAGTCGTGAGAGCTTTAAGTCGCCCCCAAGTCACGCGCAATACGGAAACTATGCGGGGCACAGCCATTGACATTGAACATGGACCTGACAACGACGCGTCCCGCCTCATGGAACA